TCACTACCAGCCAAGTGTCGTTCATTAATCAAGGAAGGTCTTCTGAAGAAGGGGTTTCAGGCAATATGCGACCTTCAGAAAGATGAGCCTGAAATGCATCGTGTGGGATAACTGGTCCATTGACCCGGGACGACAAGGAGATGGATCTCTCTCCATCACCCAGGTTCCTAAGACACAGGGCTGTGTCCCCAGTCTCAGTGAAGTCACAGGAGGACCCTGGAAGCTGAGAGAGTCAACACGGCCGCACAGATGGCAACATCGGGTTTCTCACTCTGTCTGCACAAAGGTCGCTTTTGCAAGTGTAGCAACCTCAGCTGAAACGGTCTGGCTTCTTAAAGGACTTCGACAGGACTCTACCGAAGAAAATCCTGGTGGGGTAGCAGTGTGTGGGGGCAGGAGTGGGGAGCGGGCTGGCGGGGGCCAGTGGTCTTTGGGACCGGGTGTGCTGGACGCTAGCAGAGTGCTCATTTTCCCCACCTGTCCCCCACTTGTCCTTGGGATGCAGCTTGCAACAGGGCTGTGTCACGCGATGGGCTCAATCATCTCCGCCCCGAAGGCTCTGCCTTAGAAGCAGATGGATTCTTCTTCCTGAGCTAATCCCTGTCGATCTCGACATCTGCCAGAGAGCCATATATTGCCTCCAAGACGCTCATTAATACTAGAGGCCCCGCAGCCACCGAAGCGGCCGAACCGCCTCCTCCAGAGCCAGCTGCCAAGCTGCCAGGAAGAGGGGCCTCGGAAACCACACACTCTGTCCTTGCACACGTGCGACGTCGAATTGTCAGCTCCAAAACATCAGGACCAAATCGCGCGGCATTCTCAGAGGCGTTTCAGAAAGGACGGCCTGCTTCCGCGGGCTGTTTCGTTTGCCCGTTCTATTCGGTAGGCAGCTTTCGCTCTGAGGAGCCTGTTATCGCTATGGCGCTCATTAGAGCGGCCAGTCATGCATGGGGAGCTGTTTCTCTCCAAGGAAAATCTGCAGCATCACTTCTTTTTTAAGTCGTGCGTCAGAAGCCAGCCAGGACGCAGGGCTGGGGTGGATGCATGGCACTTTGCTGCCACCCGGTGTCGGGCCTGCGAGGTGGCTGCGTAAAGACGCAGGGATCCTGTGCTCGCGGATCTGCTGACACTACCAGTCGGGGTCCGTGGAAGGCGACTTGCAGGCTCCAGGGCCTCATCCTGGGTCACGGGCTTGGCTCAGATCCATTCAAGGGCTGGGTTCTGATTTAAGGAGGCCGACCACACACAGCCACAGAGAGAAATGCCACGGCTGACATGGGGCGCCTGCCCTTCCACTCCATGACCCGGGGCGGGGTGGGGGGCGAGGTCGGTGTACCCAGCACCCCCTCCCACTTCCAGACCTTTCTAGAGATATCTTTCTCCCACCTGAATCCGGTGCGGGTCCCCCCAGATCCTCCTCTGGTGAAAAACTGGAGAGGAAGATGCGGCAGGAAAATGGACACTGTGGTTTTCTCCAGGCTCCTCGGTCCCCCGAGAGCTCTGAGCCCGACCCCGGGACTGGCGAGGGAGAGAAAGCGACCGTCAGTCCTGCGCCGGCTCTCCAGGGGACGCCCCACATTCCACGAGCGCACACCTGCGGCTGCTCTGCCACGAGGGCGAATGAGTCTGCCACACGCGGGCCCTGCGCCTGCGTCCTTCAGGGCCGTCTGGACCGAGGACACCTTGAGGGAGACCGGCTCGTGGCTCAGCTGGAATCAGGCCCGTGGTTCCTAGGACGCATCTGGGGGCTCTACCAACCCCTCCTCAGCGTTCCATCCCAGGGCGAGGGCTGGTATGTGGCCCCCTTCTCGGAGACCCCCCTCCTGCCTCTTTCTCACCCGGCCAAGATCGCTTTATTTCTGAGAACACTGCCCTGCTCGGCCCCACCCCGTCTCCCCTCTTGCCATTGTGTTCTGTTTATGATACAGGTCCCGGTGCCTTTCCAAATCAAACACCCTTTCCTCTCAAAAGTACTTTCGCAGGTTGTAAGAGTCTGTTTTGCATCTTAAAAGCTGCTCCGTGGGGAGCGTGTGGGGCTAACCCTGCCAACAAAGGGTCAGGGGGGAAAAGCACGTGAAGGGTGGCAGGAGACAGGATTTCTCTCCCCAGAATGTCTCCTGGGGGAAAGAAACGTCGCCCAGAGTTTCCTTCTTTAACAGCTGATGATGGGACATTGAGAGAGAAGGGACATTACAGCCACCGGTGAAGAAACCAGCCACCAAATGCGTCACTAACGGGTGTTACTCTGTGCCACCGTGCTTGAGGTGGCTGGGATGCAGTTACAGGAACCAGGACAGCAGGTGACAAGCCAAAGGTACGAATGCAGACCTCGAACGGACGCTCTCATGACTCAGACCAATCACCTGAGTAGGAAATCTCTCCTGGGTGCGGGTCCGCCCCCTCGGCAAACTGAAGAACTAGACCCAAGCACTCGATCGTAATACGACAGTCAGGAAGAGCACATAGAAGAGGCATATCGAGAGAGATTTAATTTCTTTAATCGCAAGCCATTGTAAAAATTAGGGCTAGATTTAGCTGCTACAGATAACACAAAACCCCAAATAACTGACTTAAACAAGACGTTATTTTTTCTCTGTAAACCAAGCCCCAAAGAAAGGGGTTTAGGGCTGATAGGATGGGTCGAAGAGGATGGTGAACTCAGACTCCTTCGAGCTTCCGGATTGTGGCTTCCCCCTCGTGGTTCCGGATAACTGCTCGAGCTCCCGTCATCACACCTGCATCCCGGCCAACAAGTAGAGGGAGGGGCTAAGAGGTCCTCACCGCCCCCCTTTAAGATCACTTTCTAGTCAGGTGGGATTCATGTTTCTCTTACATGTCCCGTGACCCCTGAAGGTAACCGCTCTCGTTTGTAACGAGCCGGGTACGGAAGGGGCACGAGCAGGAAATGGCATCAGAGGCCCCGTGTCACTAACACACCCGAGACGCTGCCGTTTGCTCGACTGATGAAAGCAATCAGGCTTTGCCCCCTCCCATCGGAGCCTCGCCCGGACTCCCCGGAGAACACACCAGAAAGCACACACAGTGGCTGCGCGGCCGACGCCAGACAGAGACCCCTCTGCGGAGCCGGCGGCCAACGCTGCGGGCTTAAAAACCCAGGCTCCAAGCCGAGCATCCTGCGAGACTCGCCCCGACCCAGCTAACGTCAGTCATCGCTCTGCAGAGGGCCCCACTTCCCTGAGCAAGAAAATGAACACAGAACGAAGGTTATCGGCTTCTTTCTGCTCTGGGCCTCTGGGCCCCGTCTCCTGTCTCCTCCGGGCTGGGGGAGGTGCAGAAAGCACGAGGCTGAAGACAGGTTTTCGCAGACCTCGTCGCACTGGCCGAGCAGTCCCGTGCCTGCTGACCACGCTGCAGGGGCGGTGAAGAGGCCTGTGCTGACCTGCCGGGCGACTGGAGGCCACGAGGCGCTCCACGCCCACCAGCGAGGAAGGGACACTTTCTACAACTTAGAGACGCTAATACATTAACATCTTAATGGCCTCGATGGCATCGCAGAGGGACTGGGAGGCCAGAAGGATCCTGTGTCGAGGGACTGCAGGGTGACGCTGATGCCGGGAGAACCACGCGTCACCCGGGCCACCGAACCCCGGCCCCGGGCACCGGCACATCCGGTGGTGGGCAGCGGAGGCAAAGGAAAGCCAGGGATCTTGCTCCTCGGCTACGGCAATGACCCTGGCTAGGGCAGAGGCTGAAATTTTTATCTGAAATGAGGCTACTTCTGGAGAGTCTGTCGTTCCGTTTCTCTCTTGCAAGCGGGCCGTCCCCCAGCTCGCTCTGACGGCGGTCTGGGGCCCTCGTTTGAAGTGCAGACCCCTGGACTCCGGCCCCAGGGCCTCTGGCCCAACAGGTGTGGGGTGAGCTCAGGAACCTGTACTCCCGACCCCGGGCAGGGAGCCCACACCGTCTGAGAACCAGCTGTCACGGGCTGTCCCCGAGCGGCCACACGGACACACTACCCTGCCCCAGACGCGTGACTCTGAGCTCTGCCACCCAGCGAGTCCCACCACGCGTGTCCCTTCATCACACACGCTTCACACCAACTTAACTCAGTCGATGTTTATTGGGCACCTACGATGGGCAAGGCACAGACTTGGAAGCGGTAGGCATGACAAGGCTAGGCCTCGCCCCAAGGGGCTTACAGTCTAGCGGGAGAGAGACACACACACAGGCACAAAAAATACAGGCAGAAGGGGGCGAGCCCTGTGACCGAGGCAAACCGGGGGAGAGCGGGGAGCGGGCAGAGCGAGGCTGCGGGCAGGTCGGCTGTTTGATGCAGGGGGCACGTGCGGTGCTCGCAGGCGGACCGCACGGGGGACAGCCAGGCACGGTGCAGAGGAGCGAGGCGCACGTCCGCCGTGGCTGGAATTTAAGACACTGGAGGGTAACGGAAGGAGCTAAAGCTGGAGAGGTCTGAGGCTGAACAGCAGAGGACATCCGTCCCCGTAGCGAGGAGACGTGACTTCCTGCTGCTGGCGCTGGCGAGCCGTCGAAGGGCTCTGAGCCAGGGAGAGAGACGGCCCGCGCCCCCGGCCCCGGGCACGCTGCCTGTCGCACACTCGGCTCTGTTCTTGCTGACTTTGCTCTGTGAGGTGCAGCTTCTCTCGCTCTCAAAGCAGAAGCCCTGGGGCCACATCCTTTCCAGGCCGCAGGAGGCTGGGGAGCCGTGGCCTGGGGCTCGGAAAATTTCGCACGCGACCCCTCGGCGTCACCTCACAGAGCAGGCAGCTCGGCCTTCTAGAAATCTTCGGAGCGTCAAGGGCAGGGCACGAGGAAGGTTCTCGACGAACGTCCGTTGCTTAAGCACAGACAGAAGGACGGAAAGAACACGGCAGAGAGCTGCAAGCGACATCACTAGCATCGTCCACACCGACCGTCCTCCAGGCGGCAGGACCCGCCGGGGCGGCGGCCCTCGGGGAGGCTCACGGTGACCGTATGTGCGGTTGCTAAGGGCTCTGCGGACACCTCCCCTGGGACGCCGCCTAACCGTCCAGCGAGGAGGGAGAACAGCGCCCGCCGCCGCCCGAGCCGGCCCAGCCCGGGAAGGGATGCGAGGCCACTGCGGTCCAGGTGGACACGGCGATGCTGGTCAGCGACGGCTCCCCCAGGACCTCCACAGCAGCCGAGGCGGGCGCCGGAGCGGGGAGCGGCGACGCCACCGCCGGGCTCCCCAGCAGAAAGGCCCCCGGGGACGCGGCGTGAACCTCTGCGCCTGGCCCCGCAGGGCCCCCGCCGCCGTTGCTGATGGTCCACAGGCACGGGTAGGGGCTGCGGAGACAGAGACAGGGCGGACGTGGTGACGCCCCGGAAAGGGTGGCCACCCCGCCGCTGCACGCACAGTGCTGGGGGGCCCGCCGGGAGCGGGGCGGACCCGGACCCGGCCGCTTCTGCGGAGAAGCTGGGAGAAGCCGGCAGGCGTGCCGGGCGCAGGCACGTGATGAAGCGCCCCGAGACCCACATTCTGAGGCTGCCCCCGAACACAGGTCTCCACATCTCGGGGCCTCCCTCCCTCCCTCGCGGCCTGTGGACACGGGGAGGGGAGTGAAGAGGGAGATCTGGACCGTGCCCTCTGTGACTGAGACGTCCCCCGGGCCGACGAGGCAGAACGACCGGGACACACTGGGGTCGGAACGCCTGGGCTTGCAGCCTCGCTCTGCCGCCATGAGCTCCGTGACCTGGGTCAAAGCATTTAACGTCTGAGCCTCAGTTTCCTCATCTGCAAGATTCTCAGTGACAATTACACGCGCCTTCCAGATACTGCTGAGGACGAAATGAGACGAGCGTGTGATGCTAGCACATCACGCTCCGAAGACGGTGGTGGTTCAAATTCTTCCATCCCTGGTCTCTAGCGGTCAGCTCTGGTCCCCGGCAGAAAGGCCGGGAGCTGGACCACTTTCTGGGACCTCTCTTGTTCTGCATGACACTGGTGTCACCTAGCCAATTTTTAAGAAATACTGCTGCCTGCGTCCTGCCCCGAGATTTCGATCTCCCTAGTCTGGCATGCAGCCTGGGTGTCGGGAATTTTAAGATCTTTCCAGTTGATTTTAACGTGCAGCAAATTCTGCACCTTCACGTAGACCCTGCGTGAAAATGACAGCAGCTGGGACAGGCAGAAAAACCTCGGATGCTGCGAGCCTCTGGTCATCGCCACGTTCGGACTGACTTTCCAGCCTCTGCCGCCTGATCCCGCGTGGCGTGGTAACAAGCTCATTACACAATGAGGGCTCCGAACACAGGTTTTCTCTAGAAAAATCTGTACAGTCAGGAAGGGGTTAAACACTTCACTGAGAAACCGGAGGTGGCAACGCCGCCCCGTGCCCTGTGCCACGTTTCAGACTCTGCGGACCCCGCTGGACCGGAGGAAACCGCGGAAGCCCGTGCCCTGCACGTCGTTTTCATGTTTAACGAGCCAGTCAGCTGGCTCGGATGCGGCCGGGTTTCTTCTGCATCGCTCGGAGCCCCTTCCCCACGCCTCCTGGGCAGAGGGAGGCCATGGGCTCCGAGTCACGTGACCGACATTTTTAAAGCCTCTCAGCTTTAGTTGCTCCTTCAGTAAAACGGGAACTTTAATACTGGCCTTGTGCATATATTCGAAGACTATAAATGACTTGCATAAAGGGTCTAGTACAGACCTCAGCAAGCGATTAACCTCCTCGAGGACTCGCCTTCTGACTTCCTACCATGACCCTGGTCACTGCATTTCCCTCAGATCCTCCAGCCACGCACTGTCCCGCTGAAGTGAAGTGTGAGCCACGAACACAAGGCTAAATTTTCTAGCGGCCACATTTTTACAAAGGAAAAGAAAATGAACTTATCGTTAATGATGTTTTGTGTAACTGAAAATATTTAAAATATTATCATTTCACATTATGCATTCGGTGGGAAAAAATCATTGACTTTTATTCTTCATTTTATCCTACGTCTCCTAAATTCTCTGTGTATGTTACCGTTACAGCACGTCTCAGTTTGCACGAGCGGCATTTCGAGGGTCTGGTAGCCACAGGTGGCCGGTGGCCGCTGCCCTGGACAACACAGCGCTAGACCCTGAGGCCACAGCAGCATCAGCATCACGGTCATCAAGACCACAGTTTATGGCCGCATCAGCGATACCTGGAGGCTTGTGAAGAACGCAGAGCCCCAGGCCCAACCGTGCATTTTAACAATGTCCCCGGCAATTCTAATGCGCAGTGAGTGTGAGCGTGCTGACACGCACCGAAGCTCCCGGTCTCCCGACTGGTCATAGACCTGCAAACCTCACGTCACCTGACATC